GCCGGGGAAGGAAGGCAACTCCCTCTCCGGCGGGTCAGCCTGACGCCTCCACCTCCTCTCCGGCGGGTAAGCCTGAAGCCTCCAACTACTCTTCGGCGGGTCAGCCTTACGTCACCTCCTCCTCTCCGGTGAGTCGACCAGCTGCTAGCCTCAGTCCTTGTCATAACCAGGTCAGATTCTCCTGCGGCCTCAGTCGTCACCTCCATGACCAACAGCTAGCCCCATCTTTGAAAAGACTCATACCAGGTCCTCATATCACAGCCCCCGCAGTCAGAACTCCCCATATTGAGGAGTCTGAGCTATGGAACATCCTTTATGGGGAAAGGGAGGATCTATTCCCTTTCCTTCCACCTCCATCAGCTCCCCACCAGCCAGAACCTGAGTCAGAGCCCTTTAGCAGGCCAGATCCCTAGTCAGAGCTCTTTAGCGGGCCAGATCCTGAGTTAGGGCCCTTTAGCGGGCCAGAACCCGAGTCAAGGACCATTAGCGGGCCAGAACCCGAGCCAGGGCCCATTAGCGGGCCAGAACCCGAGCCAGGGCCCATTAGCAGGCCAGAACCCGAGCCAGGGCCCATTAGCGGCCCAGTTAGCCTAGCGCCAGGGGCCTTTAGAGGGCCAGTTAGCCTAGCGCCATAGGCCTTTAGAGGGCCAGTTAGCCTAGCGCCAGAGGCCATTAGCAGGCTAAATCTAGAACCCATTCGCGGGCTGGAGTCCCCCCTGAGTGAGCTCTGTGCTGTCCAGAGACCCCTGAGCCTGCTCTGTGCTGTCCAGAGACCCATGAGCCTGCTCTGTGCCGCCCAAGGACCCCTGAGCCTGCTCTGTGCCACCCAGAGACTCCTGAGCCTGCTTTGTGCCGTCCAGAGACGCCTGAGCCTGCTCTGTGTCGTCCAGAGACCCATGAGCACACTAGTCAAAAGGCCTCAGAGTTAAAGCTCGGTGGGAGTTCATCTTCTAGTCCCCTCAGCGGGCGCTCCAAGCCTCCTAGAGCCCTCAGCGGGCGCTCCAAAGGACTATAACAAGTTCTTACTGTGGATCTACAGGTACTTGAACTGAGGACTTTCTGGTAGCAGAAAGAGGTGGCATGGAAAGGAAATAGATCCTTTTCCCCATAGAAAAACTATAGTAAGTGGGAATCCTTGAGATGAGGAGCTCTACTGGGGGTGTAATATTGGGAACTGGCTTAAGGGGTCTAACTTATTAACCTAGCTGTTGGTCATGGAGGTGATAACTGAGACCACAGGGAAAACTGACCTGACTTGGTGGAGGAGTATGGTTTGCAGCAGGCTGACCCATCAGAGAGGGAGTGGTGGTGTCAGAGTGATCGGTTAATTGGGAGCAGGTGTGGACAGAAGCATCTAGAAAGGAGCCAGGGAGGAATGGAAACTATCACAAGTGGACCACAGAGAATAACACAAAACANGGTCTAACTTATTAACCTAGCTGTTGGTCATGGAGGTGATAACTGAGACCACAGGGAAAACTGCCCTGGCTTGGTGGAGGAGTATGGTTTGCAGCAGGCTGACCCATCAGAGAGGGAGTGGTGGTGTCAGAGTGATCGGTTAATTGGGAGCAGGTGTGGACAGAAGCATCTAGAAAGGAGCCAGGGAGGAATGGAAACTATCACAAGTGGACCACAGAGAATAACACAAAACACAACACAGCCAGAAAACAACTACAACTACCCAAAATTACCATGAAACTAAAAAAATAAACCTAAACAAAGGGCAGAACCCTGACAGTGAGTCTGTTCATGCTGATTGTCGTCACCTGTGCTTCTGTCTACATAAGCGCCTGTCCTGCACTCATTCAGTGCTAAATCGTCTGTTGTCTACTTCTGCCACAGCTTTCATGCATTCAGATCTGCTGCCTGGATTGCTTACCTAATCAATCTTGTGAACTTTGCCCAACGCCTGATTGCTCAGGGTAAGTTCCTGGAACACCTGATCCCAGCTATTTTCTTTGGATTCTGATTTCAGCTTCATTGACTCTGGACCTAAATTTCCCTTCTATCTCTCATGGTTACTGACCTCTGGAGAGTTAGTTTTTTCCTCAACAGAGTCTTACCTTCTGATGATATACTTGGAATCCAATCACCTTGTCTTTGTAGCCACCATTTTAGGGAAGTGTTATGTTCACATTGGATATAGGAACTATTTTTAGGTATATTATAGGGACTACTTTATTTTAGACACATTGATACTTAACCTACAGGTTACCTCGGGGAATAATATCATTGTCAATACAGTAGTGATATGCCAAGCAATGACTGCGTATTGTAATAATTTCTCAAGTACTCAGTAAAGGCAATGTTTACTTTACTTTTGGTGTCTGAGTGGATTATGCTGCTCTCGAGGGTTTTCTGTGTTTTGCTTTAGTATCCACCTCTACAACTTTCCAAATATACTCCTAAAAGGGACTTTAGGTGGAGTTGGTGTTTCCATGGTAACTTCTATGTTTGGGAGGTGACAAACAGATCTGCTTTAAAGGGAGGTAAGTTTCAATCCCCAGTTCAGAGCGATTTCGGCGCTCTAATCAGAGAGGAAACTGACTTCATGCTCACATGTAGAGTATTGATTGTTAGATGTTATCATAAAATCTCTGTTGGTAATGCTTCTGATTAGATATTTTCATTTTTTCATGCTGTCGGTATTTGAACATTATCTGCATGATTTGGAGGTATATCATTGGCATCTATTATGTAGTAAAACATAAAATTAAATGTTTGTCTTAAATTTTCAGTAGAATTTCATTTTCAGATGGTAAAATTGCATCTATCTTTTATAGAATTTACAACTGAGGAAACTGTTGTGATTTACAGAGCTGTCCAGCTTTGGATGGAGAACCAAACAACTCCTCTCAAACAGCCGATTGTTTTTGACCTTGAAGGATTTGATGTACAGCCAGGCAATGGAACCTTCTTGTTTCTGCTGGCTTTGCTTGCCTA